ATTTTATGAAATATGAGTAGTTATCAGTTACGTTGTGTTTTTTATGCCTTTCTTCGACCCTTCCCCGCACTATCATCTCCATCTACTAAATCTTCCTTATTTTGGATAAGGGTTAAAAATTTTTGGAGCCCAACTAGCTAGCTGCTCGTGATGTAGAGGCCTCGGTGGCGGTGGTAGACAATCGAATATTCAGCTACGGGATCGAAGCATCCCAAGATGGAAATACCTTGGGTAAAAGGTAAGGGGTAAGATAAAGGATAAAGGATAAAGCATTTGCCGTTGATCAATCCCTTTTTGGGATGCGGCACGCATTCTACTTCCATTTGTACATTCGTAGTGGCGTTTGAATGCGATGTGGCCTATACAATGACTTGCGGGGGCCAGCCGATGTACAAGTCAGTGTTTTTATCCTCCCAGACAAGTCTGGTACCAATTAACCGACCCCGGAGGGATGGAAGGCTTGGTTGGCCCGGGCGACTCACGACCCAGGATTTGATCCCCGGACCGCTCGCGTGGTAAGCGCGCCACTTGTCACTACACCACTTCCGCCCTAAAGATTAGCAGCTTAAACTGAATTCAAACTACGGATATGAAGAAAAGAACATTCATAGACTTCCATAATTGACAACTGAGTTCAATTACTGTTTGTATTGGTGTAACTGTGACGGTCCGAAGGCAGCTGTTCACTGCCAAGGACTGTCACACGGTGCGCAGTGAATAATTAACATCTTAAACCTGATTGTTTCGTTCATTACATGCAACGCAACCTGCTTTTGATGAGCAAATAAAAATTTACTAACGATATCGAGCCTATCGATGCAAGAGAACTCAAAGTCCAAACTGGTGCACTTTGGTTAACACCTTGACGACAGCGCGGCAACTAGGTTTGCCGCGTTTTGCACGCCGCAATGGACATGTAAAGGGTGTGGCAACCAGAGTCAACCCTGCGTTGCGCAGTTCGCAACGGCACGTTGAGAGATCCTCAACGCACGCTGTATGGGCGGAGACGCAGACGGCTCGAGCATGCGAGTGTGAATGTTCGCGCGAGAGAACGTGTCTAATCGGGCGAAACTGCGCAACGTGGCCGTTGAGAACTGCGCAACGCAGGGTTGACTCTGTGGCAACTATAGTTGCCACACCCTTTACATTCAGTTTTTTCTTGAACGCGCCATTTCTTCCCAGGTTTTTTGTGTTCATTTTATAGGCCATACCACAACATAACCAAGAACCACGCGGCTTATAGAATGACCAAATATTCTTTAGTTTGGCAGAGGTTTTCGGACCGGACGAAAATATCCGTTCAGTTCATTCCTCATTTTCTTTCATTAACACGAACATGTAGATAAAAAAGAATATTAGAAGTGAATACAAAGCTACTCGTGTGGCAAGATATGTGTTTTTACCGAAACAACCACGTCCAAAATAATTTTGAAATCACTAAAGCAAAAGTAAGTGAAACTTGCCTTTTCAATGCTGTAACACATCGGCTCCCCCACTTTCTTCACGATTTGGGGCGCGGCCGCGGCAAACCCGGCCGAGTATGCGCCATCAGCTTACCTGAGTATTCGACGTTACATTACGTATCGCAATGTAACGTCGAATACTCAGGCAAGCTGATGCCGTAATGTAACGTCGAATACTCAGGTAAGCTGATGGCGCATACTCGGCCGGGTTTGCCGCGGCCGCGCCCCAAATCGTGAAGAAAGTGGGGGAGCCTAACACATCATTCGACCGCACTTTCACATGTGTACCTTCCAATAAGTTTGACACACCGAATATCAGTGAAAACATTTTGTCGCATCGAAGTATTGCGTATTTAAAGCTCAAAATCCACAGATTTGTTGTGAGGCGGCGGCGCTCGCAGAACCGCTCTGGTCCCACGCGGCCAAAAATGCCAAAACGCGCGATGTCGTCAACGTGTTAAACCAAACTAAGGGAAAGATTTCGAAACACCGGCGTCAGTTGAAACCGAAAGACCGGATTGTATGGCCAGCGTCAAGGTGTAATTGTAAAATACTGCTGTAGTGATTTTGTTAAGCCTACGTTTTTTTGCAAGTTAATCACAAATAATTAGAAGACGATCGTGACAGCTCCTGACCTCTCGCAAACTGGAGAGACCACGTAGAGGGGGTCGCGGTGTTGTTATAGAGCAACCCACTCACTTTTAGGGACAAATGATTCACAGCTATTCATTCATAGACACACATGGGAAACTTCTATATTGCCTGAACTATGGGAAGTTTGCTTAGTGTGCCTAAGGCTGTGTATCGTTTATGACCAACAGAGGGCTGACGGAAAATGGGGTAGGAGAGGATGTTGATGTTCAGAGCAAGGTCAACCCTACGTTGTTACCAGTAATAATGGGGGGGGGGTCGTACTTGATTGGTTTGTAGGAGGGGGTGTCGCGCCGGCATGGACGCCTTGCTCCTCGCATAAGCTCAGAAGCATCGGGGTTCACCCTGCTTAGGAGCGGCGTTCATGTCGGCGTGAGGGTACGATCGGGGACTTACGCTGCGCCCGCTCTCGCCACTGTCCACGCGGGGGTTAATACACCAAAGGCCCTAGCAGCCCCTATGGTTACCGCTGGTTACCCGAACCCATTGACCTACGCCATGCCAAACAAGTATGGACTACGGCCATTGCGGCCTACGACGGTGGCCCTTAAACCTAGCCTACGAACGTTTCATATATTTTACACCTAGCTCGAGCATGTGTAAAACAAATACACTACGGTAGAATCACCGTTTGATGACTTAATAAAGAACACACAAATAAGAACCATAGATTCATATGAATTCTACTATGAGCAAATACTATGAAAAGAATGATAAACACTTCTACGAAATGAAAACCACGACCTACGAACTCACGGGTCGAACCCAGTGCTCAATCCTTACGGGGGGAGACGTGGTAGCGGTCCTGCGGTCCATCTCGGGCATCCATGCCCGTCCTCCTTCTGACTCCATCGACCAGACACATGGATACCAAAACGGCGACGTACGACGAACAGCAGGACTACGACGTAAGAGCGAAGAACGCAACGACCAGACTCGGCGAGATCGACGTGAAGACTGACTGACTGCGAAGGCACGTGAGCTCTGCTTCTCTGTCCTCTTCCCGAACCTTCGATCGGACGAGCGCACTGAGACCCGCGCGCACCCTACCAGGCGCGACCCTTTAAAGTCGTGCGGAAGTCACGACAGGGGGGGGGTCGTACCCGTTTCAGTCGCTTAAAATCACATGTGAGTTTGAGGTGAGAGTAGGAGTAAAATGGCGGAATTATAGGGAATTTTTACTGTTTTTTTTACTGTTTCAGAGTAGCTATATACCCCCCTCCCCCCCTCCCGCTCGACGGCATTTTTGGAGGAAAAAGTGGGCGGAGTTTGGTGGGTTGAGTGGTATCAGAATTAAATACTATAGAGAGGTGGTCGAGGTGTGGAAAAGGGGGTCGTATCAAATCCACCTTGGGGAGGGGGGTCGTAAAAATTTTTTTAAAAAGTAACAACGATAGGGTTGACCCTGGTTGGAGCGCGATGCAGTAACCACAAACACTTGTGAAATCAAAGCTGTGTGTATAACGGGCAATTTATGCGATTTCACGACTTGTTATTGTTAGTTACCGCTTACATGGCTCTCGGTCTTCATTTATGATGTTCATACTTGTTCTAAGGCAGGCCAAATAGCAATAACCTTCCATATTAAAAACGGATCAATTACTCTTTGCTTAATTCAAACTGAATGCACCCAGCTGAGTGCTAAAGAGAACATTCCACTCCATGAGTAGTCAAGATCATAATAGCCTTCTGCATCGACGAGATCAGAAGAACTTCCCACGGGACATGATGCAGGACTTGAACTCAACGAGGTCTTCGTAGGATCGTGGGCTATCACGACGTAATCTGAAACTGTGGTCGAAGGTCCTGGCACAGTCAGAGATACTGTTTCTAGGAAGCTATTCATCAGTAGGCCTTCTTGAGTTCGACGCTGACGGCAAATAACGTCACATTCTGAGGACGGTGAGAGCAGTAAAGGAAGGTCTGCTCTGTTTATGGGCGACAT